AAGGCATGCCAGTGTGGTGGCGTTCAGGGAGAAACAAGGGAAATTGGATGTCAAACAGATGGCTTTGTAAGGAAAAGGACTGTGGCCACTCAACTGTCAAAAACAACGCTTGTTAACCGAAAAATTTTTGGTATGTTCATAAGTCCAGTTCTCAGTTTGTCTTTTTGAATGTCTGGTTTTATCATATTCTAGGCACACACCATAGGTGTTGAATAAAATACTCATTCATTTATAATTTTAAATTGCTATCATTAAGAAATGTCTGGGATAAAGATTACAAAATACTTTATACTACTTCTGCTGTCAGGTACCAGTGTCTGACACTTTCAGAAATGGTAGAACAAAAAACGAGTGGCCTGTTAGTGGCATTTTACTAATAACTATTAACTAGAAACTGTTATGCATAGTATACAACAAGTTTTCTCACTGTCATAATTTAAATATATGTTTACAGGTTCTCTGGCTACTGTCACCACTAAGAGTTTTGCTGTGGGCAGCACCACATCTCCTTTTCTTCCACTACATTCTTCAACTCCACTTAAGCGGAAACCCGTACCACCTGAGGACCCACCAAAAGAGCGTCCTGTCTTTGAGGGTCCATCTTTTCATGAGTTTGAAGCCAGTGTAAGCAGTGTAAATTCTTCTGACACCACCTACTTCCCCAGCATTTCTGAATCTGTTGACACCACTGAAGAGCAGTAAGTTAACTTTGCATGTTATAGATACTTCTAAATTTTGCTTTAACCTGTATTCAAAACTATTTTTTGAAACAAATGGACTTGCACCTTTTCTATCTTTTTTTCAACAGAACAACATCCAAACCAGTGCAGGACATGGAGAAATATTTGGTGTATGAAGAATACCTGCTAGAGCTTTTTAAAATCTGCCCCACCTGCTCGAGTCTGCAAGGTAGAGACATTTGTAAAAGGAACATTCCTTTCAGTGACCCAGAGGTGCCTCCACCAGAGCTGTTCATACAGACAGTGGAAGAGTCAACCCCTTCTGGGCAGCTCTCCTGCAGAGAATCTACACCTGTCAGCCGCTGTCTACTACGCAGGTTCATCTTTCACCCAAACAAATAAGATCAGTTCAAGTAATGAAATAATTCAAAAAGACAAACACATTTTATTTATTTAACCTAACAGCACAAAGCACAACCACATAGGAGGGACCCTGTCATGCAGAGTGTACAAAAAAGCAACATACAGTATGTATGCTGTAGTGTCCAAGAGTGGGGGTTGTCTAAAGAATGCACACATGTGCGGGTCATCAGCCATTCAGCGTCAGAGTTCCACACACATACACTGTGATTTATGTATGTCTGCTTGCTTAAAGACCTCTGTACACCCCCACCTTTGGCCTTTCTTTCTCCATCTTTCTTCTTGGGGTATCATTTGGGCTGAAGGCCATAATTTGATTTTAGACTGTATTTCTTGAACTGCAGAAATAAAGTTGCTTGCTGTTCAAACCAGCCTGTTTCCAGAGTCATCTTTATCCGGGTTCAACAGCAGTTCCATTTGGACCAGAAGAAGTGATTTTTTTCACCTCATTTAATGGCGTCACAAGACAGAGGTTTTTTGCTGCGGTAAACACCACCATCGCACATCGCACCGTTTTCTGCACAGCCGGCTAAAAAGGGTGAGTTATTTTTCACCAGACAGGGAGTACTTCGGGGTGATGTTGGTGTTTGGGGGGGCTTTGACCAAAAATTTCTGTTAGGGGATTTTTAGTGGACTGTTTGTTGATCGGATGAAGATCTCTGTTTAAATTCTAAATTTTGTGGAACTTTTTTACAACGTTCCAWTGTTTTAGTCTGCATTGTGTTGGGGGGGGGGGTTACTCTCAGAGGAAAGATGGTTGAGTGTTGGGTGAACATTCTTAAGAGTGATTTATTAACTGTTCTTCACCTCAGCTGGCTTTTCTCGGTGTATGTATGCAGGCCTTTGTGTGTGAGACATTGGCTTAGTTCAGAGGCAGATTTGGGGTCTAGAGAGAATACAGCTGTTTATTCTTGTTTTGATTTATGAAGTGAGGCATGCGGAAAGATGTGTATCCATAACAGGGAGGTTTTTGCAGGGCTTTTTGATTTCTTGTAGTACTTTTTGCCACCCAGCGCGTGTTTTTTTTTCCCATGGCCATAGAAATTCCTGTAATTCGCTCAAGAGTAAAATGTATGCATTTAATTAATAGCCCGTTTTAAATTTAGTTAATGTTGAAGATAGGATTGATTGGATTTTTTGCAACTCGGCTGTTCCTTTGGATTGTGACTGCAGTATTTTTTTATTTTTATGTTTTTGTTGCTCCATAGAATTCAGCCTGCTCTGAAATTGCCTGACAGACAGAGCCTTGTAGGAAGTTGGGTCGTGCAGGCTGTGATTAACGGTCTTGCTGCTGCTTTGGGCTGAGGCTGTTTAGGAACAGAAAAAAAATTGAAGAGCTGTTGTGAGCTGGTGTGTGTGTCTCTTTCTTAGGCAAAGCAGAGCAGGTCTCTGTACTTTGTCTGAACTGTACTGATTATTTGTTTAAATACATTAGTAAATGAATGGATAAGTACACACATAAATAAATAAATAAATACATAATATAAATAAATAAAATAAATAAGTAAGCAAGCAAGCAAGCAAGTAAATATATGAATGGATAAGTAAAGTGTTAATGTACTTATTGCTATGGTTTATTAGTAATGTATATCACATAATGTCTGCACTCTCACAATAAAGTGGGGAGTGTGTTTGTTTATTTGAATGTGGTGCAGTACCTGCTTGTATGTAAGACTTGTGTGACAAATTTGGCTGCACTGTGGTTTAACTTTTAGTACAATTCTAGTGAATGTCTGTATGAAATTTGGCTTGTCTTGATGGGGCATATTGGTGTGAATGATACTTTGATGCGTGTCTGATGAACCCACTATAAAGGTCGAAACACACTGTCTTATGAGGAGACCACATGCACCTCTATTCATATGGACATGATTTACGCCTGTGTGGAACATAATGTAATTTTTGGAAATATACAAATTTTAATTTTTTTGGCTTCTAGAGTACACTTGTATTTTTTTCCTCTTCTCTTCATTTTTTCTGCCTGGCTGTGTGTGCAGTTTTATTTGAGTGTGTCTGCTTGGTAGTGGGGTTCTGAAGCTGTCAGCAGAGAGATTTGTGTGCGTGAAAAGAAAAAATATTTTTTTTGTACTGTGAGATCTTGTTCTGTTCTGTGCATTTTTGGCCTTCCTGTGTGCCTGTGTTATGATAACATGCCTTTACAGTATCTGAGACCTACCTGTGATTACATTACAATGCTCAAACTGTAAGGAAATACGAGTTCTATAGCGGTTGAAATCAGGTGAAAACACAAGTGTTAAATAAAGTGATCTGCGACGAAATGAATGCCATAC